CTCTCTACAACAACCTGAAAGCAGGGTGTAGCCAGGTGGAGGTTGGTCTCTTCTCTCAAGTAACCAGTGATAGGACAAGGGCAAATGGCCTCAAGTTGTGCCAGGAGAGGTTTAGATTGATTATCAGGGTGGTCAAGCATTGGAAGAGGCTGCCCAGGGGAAGTGGTGGAGTCCTCATCTCTGGAGGTATTTAAAAGAGGTGTAGGTGTGGTGCTTAGGGACATGGTTTAGTGGTGGATTTGGCAGTGCTAGCTTAGTGGTTGCACTTGATGATCTTAAAGGTCTTTTCCAACCTAAACGATTCTATGATTCTAATGTTAAGGTCTGGGAAGAGGAATATAGAGTCGAACAACTTGTGCATACCTGTATGTACAAATCCTTTCTTATAAATATTATAAAAGTTGTAAACAATATACCTACTCATATATTGCACACATAGCATCTGGCCCACAATATCTGAAAGAGAATTCATCCCAGTAAAAGTAATTTATTTCATAGAGGTCTGTCTTCAAATAACATTTTTCTACTCAAAAACCCTGCCTGAATAAGCAGAGTTTTAATTCTAAATTTTATGTTTTCTGGCAGTTGAATTTCTGTCTCTGCCCACAGAAAAGATGTAGTATCACCACACTGTGACAGCATTAAGTGCTTTGGGTTTTTTTTACATCTGTTAATTCACCCTTCACTACCTCCAATCAACTCCTGTCCAACTGTAGCCAAAAGTTAATTAAAGGGATTAGCGACTTTCTGGTTCACATAAAATCATTTAGTATGAATAGTCAGGAGGAACAGTGACACCTGACAAAACATCTTAGGACCCAAAATTCTTAAAGGTAACCAGGCCGGATTTTTCAAAAATGTACTGACTGGAGTGATGATTAGCTATATCAGGATTTTTTAAATCCCCTGGACTAGGCTTTTTTGTAGGAAGATAACTACCTTTAAAGATTCTTGCCCCTTCCCCCACGCTTTTCCTATAGTCTTTACTCAAATGGTAAATAATAGAAATTAATGTTTCAACTTACCTTCCTCCTTTGCATTGGTTTTCTCATATCTTAGATATTTTACTTTTGGTTGATGAATTGGACAACAATAGACCTTATCACAAGGCAAAATGTCACAGAAATTCACTTCAGGGATCCTGCTGATGGGTTGCGTGCTCTGAGAAATTGTGCTTTCCCCCTGCAATGCTAAAGGAAAAAAAAAAAAAAAAAAAAAAAGACACAATTCTCCCCAGTGTTCTGTGTCTATTGGCATTTTATAAGAGCACCAAAATTAAAAGCCTGCTATGTATATGCAGACCAGCAGAGATACAGTACCTGCTGTAGTGGTGGAGGGAGAGGGAACAGAACTTGAGGTATTGCTGATGAAGAAAAGCAATTCATTAAGAAACGGACATCAGAGTTTTGGACCAAAACAGATTGGTCCACAATCTATTACTAATTCTAATTCACTAACACTAATTTAACTACTTGCCTGTAAATCAGATGTTTTTCAAAATGTCTCTCATGAATGCTGAGTAAATATAGGGTTGATATTGTCAAAGCACTGTAGAAAGAGAATTATTCTGTAGATTTACATCCATCTCTTATGTAACATAATATGAAAAATACCTTGACAGCACCTTGTCCAAACGTAGCAATGTAAGAGTTAACTATCTGATCACTTCCCCTTTAGTGGGAAAAATTTCAACTGAATTTAACGGGATTTAGATCAGATACTTACACACAGTATTGTATTCATATACTTGTATATATGTATATATACATATACTTGTATTCAACGCAAGATATGGTCAGTTTTCCACTGTCAATAGAATCACTACACCAGTTCAAAGTACTCGGTTCACAGAGGCATTGTAAGCCACAGGTTTTGGACTGGAAACAGAAAATGACTATCTCAAAAATCCAAAGCATACTTTGCACAAGTCCAATGTCACAAGTTAAACTTTCAGAGTCATGGGACTACCCATCGCATTGGGAACAAGTTGAGCTTTATTTCACACAACAGAATCACTCTGTATATCAGAAATTGTACTTTGGCACAGAATGATTGCATAAAACATGCAGAGTCTCATGAGTCCAACTTTGCACCTGTGGCACGAGCCACTGAGATACATTCAAGGTGCACCATATATTGTGACATGGACAGAGATTAGTTGTGTGTGTACCACATGAGTATCTCACTTTTCTAAAACGATTTCAACCTTACAGTATTATCTTCTTTCTGACAAGTAGAAAGGGAAAGGAAGAAACAAGTCAACTTGTTTGATAATTAACTGTTACCATAGTGCCATAATAGCAACCAAAGCTATTATGGTCACCCGGAAAATCTTCACGGAGCAAGACTGTTTCGTCTTTGACAAACCAACCTAGAAAAAAAAAGTTCGGTTAAAACGGCACATAACTAAGCTAATACTAGCAGATTAAGAAATACTACACTAGTCTGACTTTAAGTTAACCCTGTTTCTTTCAGAGGAACCATACAAGTCATCTTTATGTAGGGGTCAATGTCTAAATAGAAAAACTTAAGTAATGAAAGGCTCCCTAAAACTGTGAATGCGCTGTACACTGTTGATAGTCTGGGGACACAAACATTACACAGGAAGAAAGGGTGGGTAAAAACAACAGCTCCTTCTCTTTTCTTCCTGCCATTTTTTGTACTCTTCAAGTATTTCAAAATCAAATTAAGAACTCAGTAAGCAGTGGCCGCAACTAAAAGAAAAGCAGCTTTCAGTATATGCTCAGACCATGTTAAACCAGGGCTGGTGTAAATACAGAAGAAAGGCACTTTCCAAACAAGTAGGATGATCTTAGATGATGGAGCATTTGATTGTCATTATGGAATAAAGAACATTTGACCTATTATTTTCTCTTGCTTCCTGGCACTGGCAAAAGCAAGGTAGGCAAATGAGCGTTGGTTCATCTTAAAGAACAGGACTTAGTAGCCTAGAAAGACTGTCTTGAAAAAGGTCAACATATATTCCCTAACTCATTCAATCCCTGTGAAAAGGGGTCTTCTCTTTATACTATACCAGGATATGGGCAAGAGGAAGTCATTCAGCAATAGGAATGACATCCTATCCAGGTCTTAACCACCTGAAAGACAGCATTATCCAGTACAAAACAGGAGATGCTACCTGCAAACAACAGTGAAAGACTCATCCAAGGAAGCAAGCTGAGGAAGAATTATCCCTGTGTGGACTTTCAAACCAAAATGAGCATTTCTGCGTAAGGCTGCACTGCACCATGGGAGCACACCTATGGGCTCAACAGTTCTGTTGGGCTTCTCCTTCACACCATTTACACAGCATGGATCTACTCTCACACACGCAATGTATAGGCAAGAAGTAGAGGTGTATCGTACATATTTTCTGTCTCAGTAGTTAGTTTTTAAGCTTCCAGCATGACACTAAATAATTCTGGCTAAGGAATTTGATTCTATATTTAGAAACATGAAAGCTTTCACCAATATTTCATAGGCATATTTCATATATTTAATTTCACTCACCTTGCTGGATTTTAGTGGGACTGATTTTTTTTTTGATGGCAAAAGACTAGTAGCTCGACTATACCTGCTGTAAGAGACAAGATCCTCTTAACATTCAAATGCTTCAGCAACTAATAAATGAAAAAGGGACATTTTCAATAGGGCATTAATGTCACTTGCTTTCGCAATTTTAACATTCAAAAAGAGAAAGGCAGAAGTGTCATCAGATTAATTTTCAAGAACAAAGGCCTCCAGTTAACTCATTCAGGTGACTGCTATTAAATGCTACATTTGATTTCAAAGAAAACTCAGGGAAATGGTTTAGAAATAGAAAATGCTCATCACTTCCACTGAAACACTAATGAAAATTCTTTCTTGCAGAAGCAGCTCTGCAGATTTCTCTTGGCAGCAATTTCCAAACTCCAGGACTGTAACTGGACATAACCCATCCTTGCTTTATGCAACAGAAGCAATTACAAAAATGACTGCAATTTAATAGCCATTTCAAATATTAATTTTGTCAGTGATTTAAAAAATACGAGAAATTTGCATTTTTGCACAACTTAAATGCTGGAAATGAGCTGAACTCCACTGTCAAGCAAAATCAGTTTTCACTTCTACCACAGAGACCAATTTGCCAATTTCTGTGACAACTATCAGAGAACATCACAGACAGAGGTACCTGAGTTTGCTCTCTTCACTGACTGTTGACTTTAAACTGCTCATTCGTTTCAGCCTGGCTAGTTTCCTATTCCACTGTTCCAATTCTTCTATCCTGACTTCAAGGTTGTTGGTTAGTTTACAAAGCTGCTTTACAGCACCAACATTCTCCATAAAGATCTGATCCTGAAAAGCAAAACAATGACAAAAGTAGATACAGTATATTCATCAACCAGACGTAATAAGCAGTAATGAGTAAGAATTCACCTACCTAAAGATACATCGAATACTTAAAATGCAAACACAAGTTATCTCACTGTAAATGGGACACACGACTATAAAATCCTTTTGCTAGATTGTAGAAATTGCTCATGTTCAATTTGCAGTAAATTGAAAAAGAGGACTTTCAAAAAAATTTCAAGAAGCTAAAGGGCTTTGTAGACCAAGATTTTAAACTATATTTTACCTTCATACTGTGTTGAATTTTAAACCCTAACACTATCACAGGCATCTACTCTTTAATTTGTAGTGCTGCAGCTGAATATAGATTTCAGCATCCCTTAGCAAAATGTACATCCACCGCCTACCTACAGGACCAACTAACCTGGCTCAGACAAGCCAGAGTTTCTATCCATGTTGTACACACAATGTGAGTCACACAGGAAGATGTGAGACAAGGAAAGATCCAAACCAGAGGTCAAGCTGTGATGGCATAATATTTTGTTCTCCCCTTCAACCTCTTCAGGCTTTTACACGAGTCCTGTAAGTTCTAATAGCGTGATGAGCTCTGCAACTAACACAGTTCAGACACCCTCCATTTACTCCTTCCGAATATTTCACCCAGGAAAAGCCTTCTATTCTTCTACCCACTGCTTATCATCTAGGTATCAATCTGCTGCTGGAGAAGCCCTCAGTACAACCATCCAGGTAATAAGTATTTTATCAATTTCTGAGCCCAAAATGGTTACTGATCCACTGCAGGGACATGGTAACAGCATACTTTCTTTGCTGTGTTTGAAAGAACGGCTTTCTCATACTAATATACAACCAGACTGATGCATTAAACCTTGGATGAAGCTATTACCATAGTTAATGTTGCTAAGTGTTCCAGTCTAGTCAAGTCAATCAGAAGTAAGGCCAAAGCAGAGTTTTGCTTCACGATGTAAATGCTACGCACAACTTTCTTTTAAAGGTGACCACATTCCACAAAAACAGACAGTATTTTGTATAAACAGAACCAGAGCACAGGTATCAGTGGTAAGTTGCAAACTTCTCTATTGCCAGAAGACCAACAGTCTGTTTAAATAAAACTGACTTCAAAATAATCTCCTGTGCCTAGAACTGTGAAATCATTTATACGGTCACTTGTCCTCATATCAATGATATGTAGCAGCTGCCCTTTCCATTCTTTTCAAATCATACATGAATCTCTTCTAGGTGACTTCAACTAGCTGAGAAAAGAGCTCATCTGGCAAAATGAAGGAATACTTTTCTTGGGGGAAAAAAGGACTGATTAGAGTTTTACTGCCTCACTGATGACAAAGTACTGAGCACAGTGCGACTGAGAAGAGAAGAAAGATTCTTGTCCCAAAATAGCAAATTTCCATACAGTTGAAACATTTCTCTAGATAAACTAGCAGAGCCTGGTTTAAATCTGTAATGCAATCAATTAATTTTACAGAGTTCAACACCTCCAAACAGGTAACTGACAAAGAGACACAACCAAACCAGCCAATATCCTGCTTATCTGGAACTAAACCTGGAATGTGAGGTAACAAAGTTCAAGGCCTCATCACCTGCCTAAGAGCAAATATATGAAGCACTGTTCATTTACTACTCAAGGTGCTGAGCTATTCTGGACTTGGGAGCTCCAGACATTTAAAGCAGATGTTCCACCTGGACATCAGATGTTCCAAATCTCTGAATTCAATATACATCTTAAACTGTTAGACACAGATCTCTCCTGCCCCTGTCACCCCAAACGTCACAGAGCTGACATTCACATGCTCTGCCACAGGTGTTAAGAGAAAGACGAGAAAGCATAGGTTTACCTAACCATATTAAAACAATGTCAGTGTTTGTGAAGTGATCCCAGACCTAGCTGAGTAGTCAAGAAAATGCTAAGCAGCAAATAAGCCATTGCTGTAACAACTCATTCCTGCTTGGGCCGCATCCATGGCAGAATCAGGCCCTGCAGGGTACAGTAGGCATTCTCCATTTGCTAGGTCACATCCCTGGAAGACATCCCGGCAAGCAACGTCCAGAGACCCAAGCTCCACAGGAGAAAGGGAACACGATGGGCCCAAACAGCAGGGCTGTGAGGCACTGTTACAGATGGTATTCTGTGTGATATTTCAGCAAACAGAGATATTAATCAAAAGCTCAATTGTCCAACCTAAAAGTTTTGTCAGAAAAAAACTGGCTACCCCAAAGCAGTTTTGTGGGGGCTCAAAAATGCAAATGATGCTGCAGTTGTCACACCATGTAACAGGAAGGGCTAAAGGGCAAAATGAACCAAGTGTCACTATCTAACACCACTGCTCTCTATGAGCATCTAGAAATCAGCTATAGGCTGGAACCCTGACCAAATACAGCAAAATTTCTACAAGTCTCCTTTTCAACAGTATAACAAGAAAGCGCTCTTTCCACAGTTTTATTCAAGGTGTCTAATTCATGCTTCCTTTGTATGGAATACAGCCTAGCAGATTTAACCTATGCATTTAACTTATTTGTAGCCTATCAAAAGAAAACAAGTTAAATGCAGTATTTTTTAATAGATATTTTCTCCAACTTTGGTGGTGTAAACTTGTGTTTTCTATAGAGTAATGAAAGAATGCATGATTATAATGAATACAGGATCGTGTTCATGACATCGTCCAGACAAGATGAGGTTACAAATCTGTAAAACCTCTCTCTTTCCATCATCAGCTGTAAGCGGGAAAAAGCTGGGAAGGGTCCTTGACCTGCAGTGAACCAGCACACAACAGAGGGGCTGCTCTGAGCAATGTTCTGGACAAGCGCTGTCTGCAGTCATGTGTGACTGGACTCTCTGACTGACAGTCCCTTGAAGTTCTGTTTCTACAGGAAAAGTAGGGGACAAGAGCACAGGACAAGAGACTAAGGCATTGTTTCCAACCTATGAGCATGGTAATTACTTTGTGTGCCATAAAGATTTTATAGTATATGACTTTGAAGGTATAATAAGGATTTCAGATGGCAAAAAAAACCTTCCCACAGAGCGCACAGAGCTAGCACTTGTATTTGGTATGAAGTGACTACACCAGGATTAGAGTAAGGAAGTTTTTCTTTAACAAATACAATGCCATCATTCCTTAATTCACTTCTGGAACACTTAATTTAAACACTTAAAACACAAATGAAAGGTTTGGCGTCCCCCTTGTTGGACCAATGCTATGAAATCGCTATCCACTTTCATTCAGCAAAATTAGATTTTTTCCTTTTCTCTTTTATTGTATGTTTATTTATTATTATAATGAGATTTTAATGTAAATACTTCTTGTCATTAAAAGATCCAGCCACTTACTAACACCTGGCAGTTCAGTTTTTCTCAATGGTTTGCTAAACACTATTTTTGTAAATATATGTGGAGGCCTAGAGTTTTGTATAAAGCATAGTGTGTGTTTATAGCTCCACATAAGAAAGGAACAGCCTAAATACACACCTCCACTTTCTCTCTCAAGACCATACCTTGTCAACCATGAGGAAGTTTTCTATTTTTTCTCCATCGTTACCAGCAACTTCTCCAACTTCTCTAACAGCTTGAGGTAAAAGTTCCTTCACTTCCTGGGCTATTATTCCTGTTCACAAGATAACAGAAACTAAAGTCAGGAAACAGAATGGCATACCATTGACCATGGTTGTGTGCTTTGAGTTGCCCATCCTAAGAGCTACAGGTACGGCCAAACATGATCTAGAACTTCCCTGTGGTAGGAAAATCTAGGATTTCACTTTTTTTTTTGTCCATTCCAAAGAAAACAGAAACCTTTAGAATTCCCATTTCTCTGCAATAAGAACAACATTGTTTCCAATCACATACTTCATTCTCATTAAACCTCTAGAAAAATAACCTCCTGTCTTTAAAAATTGAAACAGAAGTTGGCAAATTACCAGAAATACTTAATTTTGGCATTTTTATATCACAAGAGAAACACAGTAAAGTGCGCAATTGTAGTATCCTAAGGAATGAGGATGAAATAACAGGGTGTTAAAAGGCATTATAGCACAATGAACAACAGTGGAAGTTAATGAAAAATGGAAACAGAGCTGACTGAATACCTGTTTCATGGGTATTTTTTATTCCCATAACAGATGCAAATTCAGGCTTGTAGTCATACTCCACCAGCCTCATTTGTGTTATTCTTCTCAACTGCTCGTTTGTATCGACCTAGTTGGACAAATACCAAGATCCACATGTTGAAACACTAAGAATGTCACAGCATCTAGGACTTCACTAAGACAGCAACAAGCCTGACACAGCCACTTGGCGAATCTTCACATTGCAAAATATTGACAATCTTCCCGTTCCCCGTTAGCAGAGTGCTATTTGTATACCCTTCAGTCTGACAACTCCCATTTACACAGATATCCCCAGCTTCTATGGTCAGTCTCTTCCAAAGTCCATAGGCGATGGCTCTACAGAAAACAGCGGTACACTCGATCTCTTTAGGCCAGCATTTCAGCACACCCAGGATAAAGAAGCTGCTTCACGTGTCAGAACAATGATCCACACATGTGCTGTGGTGCAAACATAAATGTCCTAAATAATCCACAGCCCTCACCTCCCGGATATTCTGTTTAGCTCGGCTGTCAGATGGATGCATGACTCTGCCCATAACTTTTGCATTTCCACAGACAACCAGTGCTTCGTCTGGTGCATCTGTGTTAATTCCTACTCGACCATGATAGACTATTGTCTCTGGAACATGTCCTCGCTGCCACAGCGCATCACTGTCATTCTCAAACTGCCCTGGGTTAGATGCCTGGAAGAAAAAATTATGTTTAAAGATACAGTATAGCATAGATGTACTACTGCTTATCCATTAGAAATTCAGGGAAAATGAAATGCCAAATCTTTAATATTTAAATTGTATTCAAGAGCTTTTCTAACACACCAACAGAAAAAAACAGAGTGGAGTCACTTCTAAGTGTTTCTGCTCACACAGCATTGGCCTTACTGCTTTTTCCCTTGAGTTCTACTTTATTATCACCTTAAGCTAAATTATCAAAGTCCAAACCTTTCCAAATTTTAACTTGACATTATGACACATAATTATTCTTCATTTACCAGCAAACTTCAGCTGAGGCTGGAAATCAGAGAAGAGAAAACACGGCAGACATTAAAAGGAAAGGTTTGGGGGTTTGGTTTTTTATATGCATTGGCCATACCAGTTTCTTTCTTTTACATGCTATTTCACAAACTTTTCCAATATGTACTGAAAGCCTGTGCCAAATAGATCAGAGGTGATCTTTGCTTGCATTCACAGGTCCTGTTCTCCTAAAGTAGATGCTCCAAACCATAAATGGCATGTACTGCAGGTTTATAGAAAAAACGCTTGAAAACAAGTAAGGGAAAAAAAAAGAAGCCCAACTGCATTACCTAAATGGTAAATTACAAATTGAATTGTAAATCATTTGTGGAAAGGACTCATTTTGCTCTCTGTTTACACAGTACCTAATACAGTGGAGTCTTGCTCCACAATGTAAATATTAAAACAAGGAGTGGGATGGGAGGCAGGAAGAGGTAGTGAGACAACCTTCTCCCTCCCTCCTTAATTTTTTTTTTTTTTCTACAATCATCCAAACATCTGCTGGGGAGCCACAACCACAGAGGAGGTCAAGTTTTGTAGAGCTGAGGTTGACTTTTCAGGCCCATTCTATTTCCTGCAATCATTTTGCACCGATGTCACACAGACAACCACCTCAGCACAACTGAAGGAATCATAGAACCATAGAATCGTTATGGTTGGAAGAGACCTCAAAGATCATCAAGTCCAACCTTCAAATGGAGAACTGTGGCACAGGGGGAGAAAAGGCATCCAAACTACAGCCCAGGGCCATACCTTGATGTACATTTCTGGCAGCAGAATCAGAGTAGGCAGCCCACTCCCCATCACCCACCTCCACCTGCCAGCCCTCAGTTCTGCTAATACCCTAACACAGACAACGATGGAGGAACCAGCTCAACTTAAAATTAACCAAGCATAAAAATTAGGCTTATTTTTAACACGGATCAGTCCTTATTCCTGTTCATTGCAGGGCCCTGGAAAAACAGTTGCACCAGCATGGCTGAGGAGTGTGGGAACAGGGGCAAGAAGCCTGATAGGGGCAGAAATGAGTCAAGCATTGTTCATTCAGTGTTGCCCTAAAACGAAATGTCCAACAAAGCATGGCCGAGGAAATACTTGTCTCTTTGTGGGCATTTCCACAACAAAACACACACAAAAACATTAAGTCACTAAATTAAAAGTCTTTTGGCATTCTGAGAAGCTTACGTCTTACTAATATGCCTCAAAAATAAAATGGCATAGTGAGATTTTTTTCACTTATTTGTGGTTTTGGACTGGTAGAAAACACTGCTCAATGAAATGGGCAGGATCAAAATCACTTTCTAATAGTAATTTCTGCAAGTCACAGCTACCACATGAATTTTGCTTTTACTCAGCAACTGAGATACTGAAGTATAAATTACATTCAAAACCTCTTTGCTAGGTTATAGAGACGCCTGAAGTCTAAAAATAGCAGTTCCGGAAGAGGTGACCATCTGGAAAAACAATTAATTACTACTATCTAGTTAATCAAATGTCATTTTGACTGAGGGATTATTCATAAATTCTCTAAAATCCTCTGTAATGTCTAAAATTAACTCATATTAGAAATTTCATGTGAATGAAACAGGGTCTTTCAAAGAACACCAAAAAACTAACAGAGTGTGTATAATTAGACAAGGCATTTGGTTTCAATAATTAATTTTGTTAATTTTTTTTTTAAAACTTTGAATTCAGGCTTTAAAATTTGAGTCTGAACAAACGTATGATCACAAGAGAAGAGACCTACTCCTTTAAAGAAGCCAGATTTTCACAAGGCTTTGTCATCTGCAACGCATGGTGCTGTGCACGTACCACTGTTCGTCAGAATTAGAGCATGATCTGATATGCCCCATAACCACTACTCAGCCGGTAGTTTTGTTACGTTTCAGTGTTTAAAGGGTCAGAATACGAGTTGCTTTCTCTCACAGTGCATTAGCACAGCTTTGCCACTTTAAGGTAACCAGCGGCTGGCTCACTGTACCCAGCCACTGAAACCCTGTCAGACATCTGGAAAATGACTTTTTTTTTTCTTTCCAGCTTTCCTGTTGACATTTTCACCACTTCAAATCACAGCCTCTTGATCCTTCTGCTTTTCTGCCTTCTCTTTTCTTTGTCTGGAATAGTGGCAAAATCTCACTCCCTGGATTCCTATTAAAAAACTGTCTCATGCACATCAAAGGTGCTCTCTTCATTGAAATTTTAAAAGACTCTTAACATTAAAAATGGTAGAAAAAAGTAAATTTCTAAATCTTACATAAAAATATGTATCTTATAAAGCAACAATAATCCCAAGGATGAGTCAAATGTGAAAATTTGGTGGCTTTCCCAAATTAGTAAAGAGATGATATTTGTAACAGTGCTAGATGCAGAAAGAGAAATTCAGACGGAAGCAGTATTGTGGAAATTAATGGACAAAAAAGGAAAATAACTAAATATGCAGGAATGATACAAACACAATGTTTCAGTGTCCTGAAATAAAAGAACCCACACCAACAGCCAGGATGATAAAACTTCTCAGCAGAGCAGAAAACTACTGAAATCCAAACACTGCTTTCAAAGCCCTTTTGCAGTTCCACCCAGAAACGAGCTCTCAGCCATATTGACCTCCAAAAATCTAACTGTAACTTCAGAAAGAAGGTTTATGGCACAAGAGCATTTACCAAATTCCTGGCAAGTGCAGGAAATTGTTTTTTCTTTGAGGTGAAACTATCTGGAAAAATCAATGTATTTTGCATTGGAATTCACAACAAGCTTTCTGTTTAAATTCTTCTATAGTTCTACGTTTAATGTTTTAAAATCCTGATAATTAAAAGATAACAACATGCTCATACAATATGCAACTGTAATTTTTTTTCCTCAATCTTTTTGAGTCAATGGTAATTTTTATGCCCAAGAATCACCGCCCCCCCATAGTCTCCTGTGACTATCAAAACAGTAAATACTTTTTACATGAAAGCAATATAAATTTCTACCTACCCTCACAATGATCTTTTCAGAGACATTTGCAGACAGTAGGTAGAATTGGTCCTGAGAGACAGCATACAGTCCAACTACCAGCATGAAGTATCTAATTTGAAATTGATTTAATCAAGACAATAATTGAAGTAATGTCTTCTCACAGAATAAATAAATAAATACAACTGCTATTATCAATACATAAAAAGATAGCCAGAATGTTTTTTTAAATGTATTTATGTCACTCTATGAAAGAAAAAGTATTTCCTTCACTCTCAAGTAATATGCTCTTTCAAACCCCATAATCACTGAAAATGAACAAAATTAAAGTAATTTGACAAATTGAAGTAATGAAGACTCAAAGATGAAGACCCTAAGATGAAAACCCTTGCTTCCTCAGAAGAAAATGATAATTATTTGGGTTTTTTGGCTTCATGATTTTGTCAGCCATCATTCTGGCTATGATTTCCTGAAACAATCTCTAACCATGAGGATGAGGTATTTTCTTATATTCTCATATCCTTCTGTGACTCTAGAAAAGAGGTCTTTAAGTAGATACCAAATATCACAGAACTTGAATAAAATCTCAAATTTGGCAACGCTGATATTTTTCACAAACATCAGCTCCCTTCTAAAGGAGACCACCTCTTTTCCACTTCACACACACAGGCCAACTAGCTACAGCAATACCTCTGGTCAGGATTAGGTTTCCCCTTTTTTCTCATATTATTTGCTGTTGTTTCACTGAAATGCAACCTTCCCAGTGTTACTTTAGTTATCTGGTCCCCTGGCAGATCAACTCTAAAACAGAAAAGAAAACAAGATCAGGGAAATGAGCATTTGGAGATCTACCTGGATCAAGACAGGTTTCCTCAAACTCATTAAAACAGTTCTGAGAAAAACTGACAAATGAAAAAAACAGAGGAACCCCAGTAAAGACGCAGTAAACCTGGTTTATAAAAATGCATTAAGAGCACAGTAACTGACAAGGAGATAAACAGGATAAAGCACCAGTAGTGGGAAACTGTTCTTAGTAATAGGAGTCTTGTGTTTCTTGGTCTGTTTGTACACAGCCTTCAACACAATAAAACCATATGTGTTCCATATGATGGGTAATTTAGTGAAAATCAAGCTCTTCTCCCAAGCACAAAGTTCATTTTTGCAGATTATATATTGCAGCCTTTATCCCAGCACTGTCCTGTCAAACTTGACACTGTGTTATCTTTTTCTGTTTTAAGGCTTATTTAATTATTTACAGAGAGCAGAACAGCTCCAATAGATGACACATGCCAGAAGAACAAACATTGATTCTGCCAGTGAGTTAAGATGCAGAAGAATGGCAGAGTTCCAGGGAGAAGCTGCCTATGTTTCTAGCAGAGGCACTCCCCCTTAAAAGCACTGCAAATACATCTCATGCCCATGTAGAACAGGAATGTTACTGACATTTTTTAAGACGGGAAACGCATCTGCCATACAGCTCTAAACACCATACAATAGTGTTGCTGGCTGAATATAAGTATTTTGGATAAGCATCCTTAACACATTTGTAAAGCTGCTGAAAATTTTCCTTAATGAAGGGAGACCAGATATATATTACTATTGTATTTCTATGTGCACACCCAGAATGGAATTTTGGATAAAGATCAGAAAACTGGCTTATAACTACTACAAGTTTCCAAGAAACAACTACTTTACATTTCAGACCAAACACGTATTGAAATAAAATAGAAAAATTTTCTCAAATTTCTTACTTAACAGGTTGGAAAGTTTTTTTGCTTCTATCTGACTGAGACTGTTCAATAGCAATTGTTTGATTTGGAGCTTCCACCTGCAAAGAAAAAGGAATTTTCAAAAATGACAAGAGTATTACATTTTCAAACACATAAAATCTTAAATAGAAATCAATAGGCAAATTGCATCTGAAGCAGTGAAATCTCCCTCATTTCTCAGGGAACTTCATAGAAATTAACTTGGGAATTGACTCCTGATCAACTGACACCTGACAGCTAGTCTGAGGACCCAAATCTTTCTGTGGATGTGATTTGGAAGAAAAAACAAACAAAGTCATGCACTAATTTGCAAAAGACAAATTGTTTCCTGAATCTAGATTGTTATTGGCTCAATCTATCCCAGAGCATAAATGTAGATATTTAACATAAGAACTGAACCTATGAAAGGTAGTTCCATAAGTTATTTTAATGTAAATTTCTGTACCTTTCTGGAATGGTACAAAGGAACACTTTGACTCAGATGGGAACAGATGACAGTAATATTCACTATTTTCTTCTGCATTAGAATGCATTAAGCAAAACTGGTAGTAACTGCCTTGTAAAAGAGCTACATGGATTTTTTAAATCACTGAATTTTGGTAGTAAGTAAAAAAACCTGATAAAATCTTTCAGAAAGACTGAAATTTCTTACTACTGTACATGCAAGTTTGTGGACCCATATTGGTTAGGAAGTATTTGGTTCTTAAAATGGAAATGGAAAGCCTGCCAAGAAGAACTGGGGAAATTTTGTGGGTTTTCTACACATGAACTGTTCAGGAAAAACAGATTTGATTCTTTTTCTTTGCTTAGTGAATTGTTTTTTCAACACATCCTTTTGACCAATGGGTAGACTGGCCACCTACACACCAGCTGACGCCCCTGCACTGCCCACAGAGGGAACAAAATTTCAGTCCAAGAGAAGGAAGTCAGTGAAACCATGGCAAACAGGCAAACATGATGTCTTTCAGCATGTATCAGCACAAGCATCGATAAAACATCACTTTTTTTGCAAAAGAGTTCCACACAGAAGTCATTAGTAACTTATGAGCATTCTCTTTTGTCAGTTCTTGCTCAAAAACAACTAAGAAGAGTTCATTTCAATTATTTACCTCATTCTATGGATAATCACATACTAACTTGTTAAAAGTAATAATCACAAAGAGGAGAAATACTTGCCTTTATTCCAAAAGCTTTCAAGTAAAACTTTTCTATTGGTTTCCCTCCCAGCTGAGTTTTGACATATTTTGGATGTCCAGTGATTCTAATATGAACTGTGATTTGGAAATGATTCTTCTTCTGGCACACAAAGGCATCATCTGTTGTTGAAAAATTAAATCCTTTATCTGTGACAATGTCATATCCTACAGCAGGTCTACAAAAACAAGAAGGAAAGAATAGCAACTTTAAATATAGGTCTATTTGAGTGACATCTTGAGTTCCTATTTTTTATGTGGTCTGAAAATCCATCTGATTTTTACTGACAAAATGGGAGTCGAAATACATATTTACAATCACCGGTTCTACCAGTATTTTCTTCTTAGCCTCTCAGAGGTGTAAAAATGAAAATCCATATAAAAGGTGCTCTAATTCTAGTCTGACACATGAAATATTTGGAAACCAGAGGTGGAGAAGCTTACATAATTCTCACAAATCTGGTATAAAAGAACTCTGTGCACCTAAAAGCACAACCAAACCTTTTAGTGTATTCAAGCATTCATTATCACATTGCGCTAAAAAACAGAGCTGAATGAGCGGTGCGTACAACAACGTGCTAATGAGCCAGCAGGACTTTCTAGTTTAACCCCGAATTCCTACACCAAGTGCTTCTGCAGAAGCTGCTGGGATTCAAATAAGGTTTTACTCAAGCTGAAAGAAAAGCAATCAATACTGACCCTCTGGCCAGGTGACTATAAAACTCTACTTTCTCATGTTGTCCATCCCATCTCAACTAAGGAAATCCTATTCCATTTATTCAAAGGGCTAATTTGTCACCCAAAGAGTATTCTGTCCTTGTGATGCACAGTAAACAAGATCTTTCTAAAAGAGCCAGTGAAGTCACCATCCCAACCATGCTTCCAGTCCTCTGATTTAAATGAAGGATAATTCTGAAATGGCAAGGTTCTCTTATATAGGCATTGGCTTTTCTTGCTAATGAAAGTTTGATAACGATGATCTCATCTGATGCTGCTGAGAACCTCTCATTAACGCAATTACTGAAGATGGCTTTTCAGAACTGATCCATTTGTTTGCACATTGTTTGTTGGAAAAATAAAAACATACAGACTTTACAGGAAACGTACAGACTTTATTATCTTTTTATGAATTATGAACAAAAGGCCCCTTTCAAACAATCACTGATTATCTGGGACAGAGAAAACTACTTTGTAACTACTTTAAAACTACTAAGTCATACGCTAATTCATATTTAAAATTATAATGAAGTGTCTACCATCTCCTCAAACTATCATTATTAAATAAGCAAAACTGCTTCAGTTTCTTCCTACAACTGGTAATTCTTTTTATTTATGTAGGAAATGTGCATATTTCATAGTAGGGAAA